TTCCTCCTCTTCCTCCTCTTCCTTTTCCTCCTCCTCATCCTCCTCCTCATCCTCCTCCTCAGCACATGCACCGAGCCCGGCCAGGACCATCCTTGGCCCAGGATTAGCGCATACTAACACGAAGCCATGACGTGAATAAATCGGGTGAGGATAGATCGAAAAGCTCTGAGATCTGGCGGCTCTGGAGGATGTCTCGGGCGCCGCGGCCTTCTCGGGGCGTTCCGGAACGCTGCGAGAGTGTTCCGGAACGGTCTGAAACGGATTTATCCTCGTCCTGGCCCCGTCCGACGTACGCCCTCATGGCTTGGCCAGGGAGGCACAAACAACGGGCGTGCAAGAGGGGGGTCACGAATCATGGCCGGCGGCATGTGCGCGGACGGGTCAGGGACCAAGGGACGCATTGAGAAAAGAAGAGGGGGCCATGGGATCTGGGGAGTCATCCTGGCCCCCGCCACTTGAGGGGAAACGCTAAGGGGGGAACTGGCATAGGGGGGGATGCATCGACCTGAAACTGGCGATACATCGCCAATCGATCGGCGATAGGCCCCCGATAGCGAATCCGCACCTTTCTGGGCGGGGTGGGGCTATCGGGCCCCTATCGGCGATGAATGGGCGATTGGGGGTCGATGCATCCCACCCTATGCCTGTCCCCCCTATAATTTCCCATGAAACATACACGAGTCCTGGGTCTAGGATGGGCCTGGCTGGGATCGGCGCATGTGCATACAGTAGGAGCTCGACCACAGGAAACCTTCCACAAGAAACCCAATCCCGAGAGCACAGGACGGCCATGGACCTTGGGTGTGGGCACCCCGCGCAGTCCCTAGAAAAACCATCGAGACCCAAGAAGCCCAGGGCACCCTGGAGGCGAGCAGGCTGTCTCTTGGTATGGGCCTCCACTGTACGGCAGGTTCATTGGTTTCTGACACCGCGGGGGTCGTTCAGCCTTGAACGATTCGGCCCTTTCCGGAAAGTCAGGTAGCTCAGCATCGGTCGACTCTGGGTCGCCCACGGCGTTCAGCGTTGAACGCCGGCGGCGGGGTCGTCGCCAGTCGACATGACGGTAGCCTGCCGACCAGAATCGATATGATCCAAAAACAATGCGACCCAGGAAACGACTTGACACAAAATTTGGCATGGGCTCCCACTCAAATATCCGACGTCGCAGTTTCTTCAAGACGGGGCCCCCGGAAGTCTCGACCCACTCCCCAGAACCGGCTCTCCATCCCGAGTCGTTCTCTGACGGTCCTGGGGGCCCGGTGAGGGCCGCTGGAGGCCGCAGACTGCAAAAAACCTCTGGCTTGACTCGTTCAATACGTTGGATCTCTGGGCACGGCAGCTTCTCTCCTCGGGAGCGGCCAAGAGGGGGGTGTCCAAGAGGGGGGGGGGTGCAAATCCTGGCCAGCGGCAGGTGCGCGGCCCAGCGGGGGGGCCAGGGACGTCATGAAATATAAGAAGAGGCGTCATGGGATCTGGGGAAATATCATGGCCCCCGCCATGAGATCCACCACCCCCTAGTCATCACCCCCCTCTTTTCCGCCCCCGATCTCCGCCCCGCCGCCGGACGCGCATCCCACGCCCGGGCCGCGCGGCGCTCGGCGGCGCGGCGCCGCGCGGTGCGGCGCGGACAGGCACGGGGCGAGCCCGCGGTCGCAGGGTCGGCCGGCACCGGCTCGTGCCGCTTCGGGGGCCCTGGGGCCCTCAGCAGAGCCCCTTCCCTGCAACCCTCGATTGATCAACCAAAAAAAAAAAACCGGATCCTTTGGGAGGGGGCCTAAGCAAGGGTGGGCACAAGCAGCACTCGCCCAGATCTCGTATCCCTCATGCACAGACGGGGACCTCAGTGAGGCCACGTCTTCATCGTGATATCAGGGTTAGGGGTTCTGTCGTCCTCGGCGATATTAGAGCCCGTTCTCTGCAACCCTCGGGGCCCCCCCGTTGATCGCCCCCCATCTCGACACGCCCTCGGGATGTGCGTCGGATCGGGTTGCGAATCAGCACAGGAAGGAGGCCCGAAGCGGATCGGCCGCGCCAGGATGCTAGCAGCACCATGCGAGCATGGGGCCGCCTCGGACCGTCGGGACAAGAAAATCTAAGCGGACCCATCACGAAGCTCATCGATCGGATCGAGAAGGAGCCTGCGCCGCCCCAAAGAGCGGCCTGGCCCTGGCAGCCCAAGGCTGGCAAAAGAAGCCAAAAAGGGGGCCAGAGCACTCCTCCGCCCCCATTCACATCGGCATCGTCCTCCTCCGCCTGCGGCGCCGTCGCTCCCTGCCCCACGAGTGGGGCCCCGACTCGGCCTCGGGCTGTGACAGCGGGCTCTTCCTGTGCCTGGCCGTTGCTGTCGCCAGCGGACAAACACGAAGCCGGGAATAGATTACGCGCGGGCACCAAGCTATCGAAATTCGGTACACGATCTGATATGGACGTGAGCACCCGTCAAACGCGGTGCATGTTTCCCTTGCATGAGCCAAAGCGGCTGACGACGGCGTCGATCACGATGCTGATCGGGGGCCCTGGTACTGCCGATGCCCGTGAAGGCGACAGCGGCCGTGTGAATGGTTATGTTGATCACGAAGCTCTTAGAGGCACTCCAGCCCTCGAAGGCAACGCCCACTGATTGAGCAAAACTGCACCACACCGCGGACCGTGCCAGCGTGTCTTTGCGCGTTCTCTGCCCGATGAGACGAACAGAAACGGGCACAAGCAGGAACTGTCAAGATCCTCGCAGACTTCTTGGATCGGCGCTGGCTCGCCCTCCCTGGCGCGCGGAGCGCGCGAGGGGCGGCGCCGGAGGCGCCGCCGTGGGCCCGAGCGCCAATCCAAGAACTCCGCGAGGAGCTCCGACAATGTATGTGTCTATGTATATGCCTGTTGTGATTCGAGAAGGCTCCCTATTGAGAGCCACGTGAACGTTTCCTTATTCGGCGTTCCGACATTTGGCGGAAGGGGGGGGGGGAGGGGGGGGGGTCTGGCTCTGGACCTCTGCTTAGCGCGACGGTGTGCAGCAGTGCCTCCTGTTGGGAAGACCCCACCTGCTCGAAGCAGGCGCCAAGAAACCGCCTGGATCTGCTCCATCGGAAAAGGGGGGGGCGGCGAGGGCACACGCCCATCGGCAGAAGCATGAACAGAGAAACGATCACCTCCTCCTCCTCCTCCTCCTCCTCCTCCTCCTCCTCCCTCCTACCTCCCCCTCCAGTGTGCCCCTCCTCGCCCCTCCCTCCCTCCCTCCTCCTCCCTCCAGCGTGCCCCTCCTCCCTCCTCCTCCTCCTCCTCCTCCCTCCCTCCCCTCCTCCCTCCCTCCCTCCCTCCCTCCCCCCCCAGGAGTTCGCTCCTGCCAGGAGTTCGCTCTGGTCAGGAGGCCTGCCACCGCTCGGAGGTCCATTCCCCGTGCATGTGTCGGCTTCGTGCGTGCATCTGCGCCGCAAGATCATGCAAAAAGCTCGTTGATGGTCTTCGCCGAGAAGAAACGCACACGTCCGAGCGCCCCCCCAGCGGCGCCTCCGGCGCCGCCCCTGGCGCGCTCCGCGCGCCAGGGAGGGGGATCCAGCGCCGATCCGAGAAATCCGCGCGGACCTCCGAATTGTTATGTGTATGTCACCTTTTGCTCTCTCCCTATCCCTCCCTTCCTCTCCCGTCCTGCTCCCTCTCCCTCCCCTCCTCTCCTGTCCTGCTCCCTCCCCCTCCCTTCCCCTCCCGTCCTGCTCCCTCCCCCTCCTCTCCCGTCCTGCTCCCTCTCCCCCTCCCCTCCTCTCCCGTCCTGCTCCCTCTCCCTCCCCTCCTCTCCCGTCCTGCTCCCTCTCCCCCTCCCTTCCTCTCCTGCCCTGGGCCCCGACGAGGGCCCCCCGAGGGGGCCGCGCTGCGCGAGCCAGCGCCTGGCGCCGGCGTCGGAAGGCGCACGTGCCCGCGCCCTGCTCATGCCAGGGCGCGCGGGGCCGCAGCCTCACGTCGTCGACGCGGGACTTCAAGTCGGGCCTGTCCCAAATACCCAAAAAATATTCTAAAAATGATCAAAAATCATTTAAACACAAAAAATGGTCCCCAGGCTATTTGTTTTACTATTCTTGAAGATTCCCCCTGTAGAGGGACAGGCCCGACTTAGCGCTGGACCCCTCGTGACCCACAAGACGGCCCAAGAGGCCCGCAGGAGGTCTCCAAGACGGCCCGAGAGGCCTCCAAGGGGGCCTCCAGGCAGGCCCGCAGGGGCCAGAATCATGGCTGCTCCTCTGGCCTTCTCCTGCGAAGGACTGTGGCCTCTGCCTCTCCTCGGCCTGCCGACGGCCCGACGCGGCCCACTTGGAGATCCCGAAACCGTGTGGTGACAGACCGTGCGGTGACCTCGGAACCCCAAGAGACCTCACCGCACGGTCCGTCACCGCACGGTCTTGGGACCCTGGAGGCCCCTGTCGCCCAAGACATCCTCGGAGAGGGACTCGAGTCCCAAAACCGTGCGGTGACCCCGAATCCCCACCGACACACCACACGGTGTGGTCACCACCCCGTTTGGGGGCCCCCGACCCACGCGCCCCGAAAGATCGCCCCAGCGGCCCCCGGGATGGCGCCCAGCCCTTGGCGGGCCGCGGCGGTCTCCGGCGGCCCTCCGGCGGCCGGGCGGCGGTCTGCCGACTCTGCCTGCGGCAGTCTGCGGCGGTCTGCCGCCGAGGAGCAGGGGCGGTGCACGGGCGCAGACTTCCCCGGGAGGTCCGCGGGGCGCTGCCTCCGGGAGGGATTTGCGGCGCAGGCCCGAGGAACCCGCGCGGGCCGTCGAGCGTGCACGCTTATGCCGTCTGCTCGTCGGCGGCTCCGTCGGGCAGCGGGAGCGGAGCTGGGCGGCCGCCGTGCACTGCGGAGAGGGAGGACAGGAGGGCACGGCGAGAACGTCGGGAGGAGAGCGCGAAGACCATGGATCGAAAGCTCACACACCTTCACACAAACACGCACGCATACAAACACACACACACACACACACACACACACACGCGCACGCTGCCGAACGCGGCCTTGGCGGCGATGAGGTCGAAAAGCTCGGCAGCCTGCGTGCTGAGATCCTTGCGCGGGGGAGTGCAAAAGCTGGCCTGCCTATCACACGAGGGATGGCGACCACAATCCCCAGCTTAGTGGGACATTCGACTGGTCAAAACATCGAGGCCCAACTCGGTGATATACAACGAGGGGGGGGCGTCCATCATCGATAGGGGTGCGTCCGAATAGCTCCCTGGGGGCGGTATCCCCCAGGTCCCCTTCCTTTCTGAACGACCAGTTGTTTGGACGAGAACTGGCCTGCGGGTCTGAGATACTATGCAGGCCAATCTACGATGCAGCCGACGGAGAGTGCCGAGCCCAAGCAGACCGCACGCTGCTGTGCGCAAGAAGAACGAGGGCAACCGCGAGGCGCCGGCACTGTACTGAAGTCTCACGTCGACCCGCCCGAATCCCAGACCCCAGACGTCGCGACCTACTCACAACGTGGACCCCTGGAGGTCCCACCCCCCTCCCCCAGGACCAGCTCTACGGGTCTGCGTCGTTCCGTGACGGCCCAAAGCGCCCTTGGGGGCCCAGTGAGGGCCGCCAGAGGCCGGAAACTGCCAGACGTTGGAGGAGGAGACAGGCGGAGGGGGAGGAGGAGGAGGAGGAGGAGGAGGAGGAGGAGGAGGAGGAGGAGGAGGAGGAGGTGAGCGCACCGAAGCCTCACGTCGAGCCCCCCTTTAAGTGCCCCCGCCCCGGCCGCACCGCCCACGGGCAGCACGGCGGCGTCCTCGACCCACTCGCCCTTCAGTCTCTGGTCCCACCCGAGCGCGTAGATGTAGGACGTGTTCTCGTCCCCACCTCAGAGGGCAGAAAAACCACCCCGATCATAACCACCCCGACAACGCGAAGCCGTGTAGTACACGCCCCCAAAATAAGGAATCAGACAGGGCAGGGCTGTTTAGTAAACGCCCGGGGCCGTTTAGTAAACGCCAAGTGTCCGGTCCGGATGGTTTTTCCCTCCCTTGACACCTGCTCGAAAATATCAATAGTCGGTGGCAATTCATGGGAGCCTCCCGCAGCATCTGATCGGCTCTCGAGAACCGACGCTGATCGACGCAGAATCGCCGCTCCATCGACGCTGCCTCGACGCTAATCAACAGTTAGCCGACGCTGAATCGGCGCTATCTCATCGACTCCCAATCGCCAATCGACGCTCGTCGACGCCAAAGACGGAATCAACAGGGCACACAAGGCTCCCATGACTCGCGACCGAATCGGTGCGCAGAAGCCACCTGTGCACCCACCACCACCACAGTGCATTGCCAGAGCCACCCTGGGCCCTGGGCAGAAGGTCTACGCCCTCCTGGCCGGAACCAGGACGGAAAACACTCGATGCACGGCCGCAGGGCCCGGGACGGCCCTGGCCAGGCACCGTGGTGGCGCGCAGGTGCCTCCTGTAGGAGGACGGACAGCTGAGACCACGGCGGCTCTCCCTCCCGGCCCAAATCCATTCAGAATCGGTCCCCCCGGCCAGCTATGACTGCAACAGGGTGTCTGATGTCCTCGAAGCAGTAAAGAAGAAAAACACTATAGTTGAAAGAAGGCGCCGACAAGCGCATACTTGTTGAGAGGATGCAGAACATGCAATCACTTGTTGTCGCTGATGCACAAGATGCAATCAAATTATTGTTGCTGCTGGCGGCCGGAAACGGCGGCCAGAAAATCGGTCCCCCCACCCCGTCCAGCCTGCCCCGTGTGTTGAAGCGGATCCAGCCGGAGTGCCGCAGCTACGAGAAGCCTCCGGGAGGCCAAAGAGAGGACGAAAAACGTCGGGGAGGGCCGCCGTTCTCGACTGGTCGCCCTCCGACGCGGGCGGAATGATCTATGCTGAGACTCCGCAGATTGCCCAACAAGGCCAAGGCTCCTCTAGAGGGAGGAAAGGCGGTATGAACATAAGCTGCTGACGGTCCGCGCAGAGTTGTTGACTCCGCGCTGGACTCCCCCCTCCCTGGCGCGCGAAGCGCGCCAGGCGCGGCGCTGGATGCGCCGCCAGGGGGGCCCAGGCGCAGATCCAAGAAATCCGCGCAGAGGTCCGACAGTTTACGTTTGCCCCGCTTTGCTCTTCGAAACAGAGCTCCTCGTGAACGGCACTCTCATGATTAGGCATAAAAGGACACCTAACCCTGTGGGAGAGGGCCTACGTTAGGAGGGCCAGGGAACGGCACTCTCATGATTAGGCATAAAAGGACACCTAACCCTGTGGGAGAGGGCCTAAGTTAGGAGGGCCAGGAACATTAGGGATAGGAGGTCTTTTCTGCCGGCGTATGAGAACAAACCAACCAGCATAATTATCTCTAAGTCGAAGACGGGGACCTCAGTGAGGCCACGTTTTATCGTGTGAGGAAGGTTAGGAACTCTTCTGTGCTCGATGATCTCAACTCGCTGCAAGCAAACAGGCGTGCGGCAACCCACAGGCCACTCCCGACCGGCAGCGCCAGCGGTCGCAGAAGGCGCGCGGGGGGGTCCCGGAGACCCCAGGCGCCTTCCACAGCAGGGCCATCGAAATCCAAGAAGCCCAGGGCACCCTGGAGGCAAGCAGGGTGTTTCTTGGCACGGGTTTCCACTGTAGCCAGCGGGCGGCAAACAACCAGCCACCAGGTCGCAGGGAGCACAGTGCCAGCCGACGAGGCACCAGGACGAGATCTCAGCCAGCCCACCACGTGCAAGAGTGGCCTCGGAGAAGCTTGGCGCCCACAAAAGCAACTTGCTCAGTCAAAGAGCGGAGGGCAGCACCGGCGCGGGGGGACAGCCGGGGACAGGGCAGGCAACCACTGAGCGACGACAAGAAACGGGTCTTCCGCGAGATGGCATACACCCTGCGAGATGCTTAAGAAATCATGGGTTCAGAAATTCATGGTCTCAGATTTTGAATATAAAAGCCCAGAACGTCTATTCAAATCTTGGGATCTACATTGCAACATCAAGAATCATCGAGACTCTGGCCGAAAACTTGGGTTTTCTTAAGCATCGCCTAAGGTGCACTTGCCCGAAACCCTCGACCCCCCATGTGGCCGACTCTGGAAGGCCTGACCCGAAATGATGCTACATCTTGGCGGCGCATCTTTACGCTGGTCGACGGTGATCGACGCTGGTCGACGGTGATCGGCGCTCACAGACGCCAAATCGGCCCTACCGGAAAACTTGGGTTTTCTTAAGCATCGCCTAAGGTGTAGCTACCTTACGCGGTGGCTTGCGCGCTAACCGCCACCGCGGCACGCCGCATTTTGGAGACGGGGGCTCCCACGCGCGACCCTGGGCGGGCGGCTGACGCGCTACTGTCGGCGCGAGCGGCCCACCCCTTCTGCGCCGCTCCTCCTCCTCCTCCTCCTCCTCCTCCTCCTCCTCCTCCGCCTCCTCCTCCTCCTCCTCCTCCTCCTCCTCCTCCTCCTCCTCCTCCTCCTCCTCCTCCTCCTCCTCCTCCTCCTCCTCCTCCTCCTCCTCCTCCTCTCCACTGGCTTGAAGGAAGACTGCAAAGAGGGCAGGCGAAAAGGGCAGCCTCTGCAGGGCCGGTAGTTCCCTGGTGTGTCCATGCACGTTCCTGCTCTCGGGTACGGTCGCGGACTTGGGACAGAAGAACGTCCAAGGACAGAAGAACATCCTTCAAGAGCATGAGACCCTCCGCTGGCCCAAACTGGAGAACAATCGAGGGCACCCTCCCCCAGACACCAGGATGCACAAGAACATGCAACAATCGGCGGCGAACGAGGGGGGGAAGTGAGAAGGGGCGGGCCTTCTCAGAAGGCTCGGAAGTCCCCCAGCCTTCTGAGAAGTGTTCTAAGCCTTCCCCGAAGACACCGAAAACTTCTCAGAAGGCGCGAGGGCTTCAGAGAAGTCCCACCGCCTCCTGAGGCCCTCTCCTTCTCGCCTTCCCCCCCCCCCTCGCTCGCCGCCGAGACAAGCGCGCAGAACCCTGGGGCACCCGCCCCGAAACACCCTCGCTCTTGTACCTCGGCCCGACCGTAAAAAGCATACACCCTGCGAAATGCTTAAGAAATCATGGGTTAAGAAATGCATAGTCTCAGAACTTGAATAAAAACCCAAAAGTTCCATACAAATCTTAGGATTGGCATTGCAACATTAAGAAGCATCGAGACTCTGGCCGAAAATTCAAGTTTTCTTAAGCATCGCCTACTTCCCCAGGCTCACGCGAATCTCCAAGCTCGGCGCTGGCCCGCTCCCAGGCACGATCGGAGCGCGCCAGTCGGGTCGGGCGAAAGAAAGGGATAGCAAAGGGGGGGGGGTGAGAATCAGCTCACGTAGCTGACTTTCCCGGCGCCTCCCGGCGCCGGAGGCGGCTATGCATCGAGGAATGGGACCCTCGGTGAGGCCGAAACTGGCTGCATGCAGCAGATTTCGTAACCCCCCCTTTCCCAATCCCCCCCTTCCGCCCGGCCCGAGATCGGAGCGCGCCAGGGGCAGGCGCGCTCCGATCCTGGGGAGGGGACGCTGCGGGGCCCGGCCCCGGAGGAGCACAGGGACGCAGCTCCGCCGCGCTCCCTCTGCCCCCCTTCCCCTCCCCTAGCACCTAGCAAGGAGGAAAACGCTCAGGGGGGGAGGGTTAGGAGGCAACGACTGGGAGGTTATCGTCGGAAACGCTCAGGGGGGGAGGGTTAGGGGGGAGGGGGGGAGGGTTAGGAGGCGACTCCTGGGAGGTGTTCGTCGGAAAGATCAAGGAGGATGAAGCTCCACTTGGGAGCTATTACGCCGGAGTGGGCCTCGGATGAAGCGGGATTCAGCCGGATCAAGCGGGGTTCAGCGGGATTGAGCCGGATTGAGCCGGACTTCGGACCAGTGCAACATCCGAATTTGACCTCCCAGGAGTTGCATCCCAAGGAAGGGTAGGGAGGGGAAAAATATGGAGCTGTGTAGACGTTCGACTCCCACGGCACTCCCGGCGGCAGGGCGGAGCAATGCTGGGTGGGCCGACGCCTTCCGTCCCCGCGCCCGTTCCCGCCGCCCCCAGGAGAGCCGAGAATGAAATCGATGAGTCGGATAGGCGATCGAACTGCATCGGATCAACGGAAATCGGCAGCCAAGTCGGGGGCGCTCGAGTCGTTGGACATCGGCAGGCCAGCCAAGCCTCCGCTGAGAAATCGCGGTCCGGGTCGGAGCCCCCGCGCCGAGCCGCATCGGAAGCGGGAGCCATCGAGGTCGAACCGACTCGATGGGGAAGAGTCCGAACGAGCCCTGCGCCCCGCCCTCCCGCCAGCCCTGCTCTGCACTCCCGCCACGTCCCCCCCGTGGGCAGCGAGCGCGCGGCAGCACCCCGGGAGGGCTCCGGAGGTCCCCAGGCGTCGTCGGGGGCAGGCCACTCCAGGGGCCGGCAGGAGACCGAGGAGAGCCAAACACACGTCCCTACACATCGGGGGGGGGGGGGGGGGCGAAAGAGTATCACTGCCACGCCGCCGCGGGGGGCCCCGGGGCCCCCATCGGCGTGCTACTATCGATGCACGCCGTCTTTCCTCGGGCGCAGAACCGAGGGGGTAGCACGCCGATGGGGCCCCGGGGGCCCCTGCGGCGGCGTGGCATTGAGATTCTCCACCCCCCCGACACACCCTTTATCGACAAGGGAAAGACATGCCACTGCCAGGCGCGTCCGGAACGTCCCAAACACAGATCCCCACTCAAAACCACCCCGATGCCACAAAAGCCAAAAACATGTGTATACATATATATATATATATAACAAAAAAAAACTGACGACAAAGACATCCGACGCACTGCCTCTTGCAGTCCGCGGAAACCCCAGAGGCCTGGTCCCCTTGCCCAAGAGGGGCACGAAAACTGCCCCCCTGCCCCCTGGAGACTGAATAACGCAAGTGTCGCAAAAGCGAGGGGGGGGAAGCAACTGTTGCTGCTCCGACCGATCCCCAGCCGATCACGCGAGGCGAGATCCCCAGGAAGCACCGGCACACTTTGGGCCCAGCGTTAGGTCGGGCACGTCCTCCTACAAGGGGAGATTGGGCGAACCAAAAGCTACTCAATGAGTGGGCATGAGTGAGAGAGACTAAGAACGGGTGGGTCTGAGTGGGAGTGAGTCCGTGTGTGAGCGAGTCTGAGCGTGTGTGAGTCGATGTGTATGAGTGGGAGTATGGCTAAGCATGTGGTGAGTGTATATGCATGTCAGTGGTCTGGGTATTCGAGTGTAGGTGCGTGTGTGTGTGTGTGTGAGTTGTATGAGTGTGAGTGGCGTGAGTGTGAGTGTGAGTCTGATTGTGAGTGAGTCCGAGTGTGAGATTGGGCACATATGTACAACACATAGGTTTCGAGACCAGTAAACCACATAGGATTCGAGCCACAGGAGAAGGGCAATACATAGGCACATACGTAAAACCAGCAGGTGGGGTCGGCATGAGGACCTTCTGAGGCCTCCTGGGGCCTCCAGGGGGCCTCCTGGGGTCTTCTCGGGCTTCCTGGGGTCTCCTGGGGCTCCCGGAGCATCCCGGAGCCTCCAGGGGCCTCCAGGGGCCTGCTGGTGCCCACTTGGGTTTGTAGGGGCCTCCTGGGCCCTACTGGGGCCTCCTGGGGGGTACTGGTGCCTCCTGGAGTTTCCTGGCGTTTCCTGGGACTTCCTGGGGCCTCCTGGGGCCCCTTGGAACCTCCTGAGGCCTCCTGGAGTTTCATGGGGCCTCCTGGAACCTCCTGAGGCTTCCTGGGGCTTCCTGTGGCCTCCTACGGTTTACGGGAGCCTCCTGGGGCCTCCTGGGCCCTCTCTAGGGCTTCTTGGGGCTTCACCAACACAGGCAAACCACCTGAGACATCCTCGCAATCGGGGCCTTGGGAGTGCTGAAACCAGCGCCTCGCCTGAGACATCCTCGGAAACTGCTCCGAAAGAGAAGGATGCTGGGCACACAAACAGGCAAACCGCCTGAGACATCCCCCAAATCTGGGCGCGAACAGGCCCTTGATATACCCCCTGGCGCCCCCCTTGGGAGTACTGAAACCAGCGCCTCGCCTGAGACGTCCTCGGAAACTGCTCCGAAAGAAAAGGATGCTGGGCACCCAAACAGGCAAACCGCCTGAGACATCCCCCCAATCTGGGCGCGAACGGGCCCGTGATATCCCCCCTGGCGCCCCCCATTGGAAATGCTGAAACCAGCGACTCGCCTGAGACGTCCTCGGAAACTGCTCCGAAAGAGAAGGATGCTGGGCACCCAAACAAGCAAACCGCCTGAGACATCCCCCCAATCTGGGCGCGAACGGGCTTGTGATATACCCCCTGGTGCCCCCCCTTGGGAGTACTGAAACCAGCGCGCCTCGCCTGAGACATCCTCACAACGTGTGTGTATGTGTGTGTGAGTCTGAGCGCGGAAGTACCAGGAGTGTGAGTGAGTCTGCATATTAGTGATCCCGAGCATGAGACACCTGAGCATCACGAATCTCAGAGCGAGTGCGTCTGAGTATGAGTGAGTCTGAATGTGAGTGAGCCTACATGTGAGCGGGTCAGAGAATGATGGCCCGAGGGCGGGAGGCGCACTCGCTCTCCGCGCGGTCTGAGTGCTGACAAGAACCCCATCCTGTTTTAGGGTGTGGGGGCAAAATCGTCCCCATAGCATGTCTGGACTCCTCTGGAGTACTCCTCCTGCAGAGGGAGGCGCCCGACTTCAGCCCGGCGGGCGCGGTGTGCAGCCGTCGCGCGTCGAGGGCGCGAGGCGGGTCCCCCACGGAGCGCCGGCACACTCTGGGCCCGGCCGCCGCGGTACGCCAGGGGCGTGCGAGGCGGGCCGGGAGCCCCCGCCCTTGCATGGGACGACCTGCAGCTAAGTCGGGCCTGTCCCCCTGCAGGCCGATGTTGGACGAAAAACTAGAAATACCCCAAAAATACTCTGAAGATGGCCAAAAATAGTCAAAACAAATAGTTCCCTGACTATTTTCTTACTATGTTTGAACATTCCTCCTGTAGAGGGACAGGCCCGACTTCATGCAAGGGCCTTGGACGCCCATGCCGAGGCTCTTCGAGCGGGGCGGGCCTTCGAAAGTGGTTGAGGGTGGGCCGAAGATGGCCGAAGAGGCAAGGATGCAGGGGTACCCTTGGAGAGTCGTTCATCCTTACTGTGCGGGTTGACTGTACCAGACCACCCCAACCCAACCCAACCCGACGACCCGAACTTCGCCCGAACTTCGGGTTGGGGGGGAAAGGGCTTCAAATGTGTTTTTCAATGTTCCCCGCCCCCCCCCCACTGGAGATGGAATGCAGATCGGGACCTTCGGGTTGGGTCGGTGTGGTTCTTGGTGGGCGGCGAGCTCTCAATCTGACGACCTGAACCTGCTGGGTGGGACACGAAAACGCCGATGCCCGGGAGGGCGTGGCTGGGCCACCCAGCTGAAACGTCGTGTCGTGCGCGATGTTGTACACCCGGATCACGCCGTCCAGCTCCCCGCTGCCCTCCTGGGGCCGGAGCCGGGGCGCAGCCCTGCCCTTCCAGGACACCTCGAGGTCCATCTCGTAGTAGAGGGCGCGAACGCCCTGGCGTCGAGGGCGCGCCGTCGGGAGGAGTGAGAGGGGGCAGGCCTTCTCAAAGGGCCGCGGGGCGTGCGAAAAGCCCGCGCGCCTGCTCATAGGACCCCCTGGGGCTTCGGAGAAGGCCTGGAAAGCATCCCAGAAGGCCCTCCTCCTCCTCCTCCTCCTCCTCCTCCTCCTCCTCCTCCTCCTCCTCATTCTCCTCCATTTCCCTCCTCCTCCGCCTCCCTCCGCCTCCTCCTCCTCTCCTCCTCCTCCTCCTCCCTCCTCCTCCCTCCTCCTCCTCCGCCTCCTCCTCCTCCTCCTCCTCCCTCCCCCCGCCTCCCTCCTGCCTCCTTTTCTCCTCCTTCCTCATTCCTCCTTCCTCCTCCTCCCTCCTCCTCCTTCCTCTTCCGCCTCCTCCTCCTCCTCGCGTCTGAGAAGACACGCCCGCCGACGCTCCCCGGGGTTCGGGGGGAGTCCGTCGGCGTCCCCGGCGGCAGCAGAGGCAAGAGTAGGGAGCCGAATTCTATGTGTGTATATATATGTGTGTATATATATATATATATATATATATATATATCCACGCACACACCGACGCTATTTGCGGCCTTGCACCCCAGAACCCCTCGCGCTGTGAAAAAAACACGACGGGACGTTTTTCGCTATTTTCGGCCTCCGGGGGCCCTTACCGGGCCTCGGGACCGTCAAAAAACGATTCAGGATGAAGAACCGGTCCTGCGTGGGGAAGGGGTCCAGACCTCTGGAGGTCGACGTTGTGAAAAAATCGCAACGCCGGGGGCCCTTACCGACGTTTGGTGCGGCCCGGCACTGAAGTTTACACAGGAGTGCGGGCACCTTTTATATTATGAAGAAAATCCTGGAGACCTCGCGCGGCAACTTGAGACCCGATTTACGTCGGATCTACGTCGGATTCACGTCGGATTCACGTCGGACTTACGTCGGACCGACTCCTGAGCATCGCCGCGCGAGCGTCGGCCCATAGCTGACGGAACTGACAAGTGGACTAGATCCTACTACGGTTACGCGCCGCGCGAGGCCTCCACAGGACTTTCCTCCTAGTTTATATCCATATATACACTGCGTCTTGGACTTGCTGGAAAAGGGCGACGACAGGCCGCGGCGCGGCCGATGCGGAGGAGGGCCTGAGCTCTGTGGGCGAGACTGTTTTTTAATCCATATCCGCGGCGCCTCTGCTATCGGAGGAAGGCTATGAAGAAAATCCGATTGAGACCTCGCGCGGCGGCTTGAGGCCCGATGTACGTCGGATCTACTTCGGATTTGCGTCGGGTTCACGTCAGACTGCGTCGGATTTACGGAACTGACAAATGGACTAGATCATACTACTATTACGCGCCGCGCGAGGCCTCCGGGATTTTCCTCATAAGGAAGGGCGCCCAAAACTCCAAGCCCGCAAGCAAAGCGGATCCTGGTGCATGTATACAAGATCCTGGTTCATACATGTTTCGCTGGCTCCTGGAAGACGGAGAAAAACTAGTATACACCACACCGACCCCAACATCGTCCCCGACCCTCTAAAAGTCCTCGGATTGACAAACAGCCCGCCACCGGTAATGTACATGTTCCAGTTTCCGACAAGGCCAACCGAACCGACCGTGGGGCCGCAGCAGGCGAAAAAACGACGGACCGAGAGCAGCCCACAAAGCAGCGGGCGTCTCAATTGTTTCGAGCCGGGCGTGTTCGCCTTTTTTCCTAACCCGGTGACACCCTTACAGATCGATCCGGCTTGACAAATGACGCAGAAAGATGGGGTCTAGGGCTGCGGGCGTGATGTTTGACGATGTTGCATTTTTCTCGCTACGTCGGATTTCAGGGAAGAGTGAAGCCACAAGTTCCGTGGTGAAAACAAAACTGGCCATGGCTGGGAAAGACTGGCCGAGGCTGGACCCAGCCCCAAACAGGTGGGTCACGGTGGCCAGGCCTGGAACGTCATCGAAGAAGCTTGCCGGCGCTGGAAGGAATGCACGGGCTGGCCCCAACCACTTTGGGGAAACGCAAATGAGCTGATACCGCTACTCCACGGCCCTCCTGGTGTACGTTCTGACCAGAATTTCGAGGCGAATCCGGCGGAGGCGACGTGGGCATCCCAGCAGGCCGAAATTCCAACATCGTTGATGAGTCTTGTTTTTTGCACGGGTCCTCCTCTTCCTCCTCCTCCTCCTCCTCCTCCTCCTCCTCCTCCTCCTCCTCCTCCTCCTCCTCCTCCAGGGCCAAAAACTGCCTCCAAGGGCCGAAAGCCTGCCGCGAGGTGTCTGCGCTGCCCAGACCGGGGGGTCCGTCGGACCAGCCTTCTTGGTGGTGATCGAACACTCGACCTTGGACTTGTCGAGGAGCTCCACGGTGTCCAGGATGCAGCCGCTACCGCCGGTGTGCCTCCGAGAGATGGGCAGCACAGTGTTAGGAGGCAACTACTGGGAGGTTTTCGTCGGAAAGAATAATGAGGATTAAGCCCCGTCTGGGAGCTGTTACGCCGGAATGGGCCTCGGATCAAGCGGGATTTAGCCGGATTAAGCGGGGTAAAGCGGGATTAAGCGGGATCAAGCGGGATGAAGCCAGACTAAGCCAGACTTCTGACCACAGCAAAATCAGAATTCGACCTCCCAGAAATTGCATCCGAAACAGTGGATCATGTGAGGCGAAAAATAGCACCGATGCCGCTATTCGCCCTCCCCTGCCCCCGAACAGGGAAAAGCTGCACAAACATAACGCGGAGCTGACGGGTCTGCGCTGGACCCCCTGGAGGGGGGTCCAGCGCAGATCCAAGGAAATCCGCGTGGGCATTCGAAAGTGTGTGTGTGTGTGTGTGTTGACGTAGCTTGTTCTTCTTCGACTGCCCCCTGCCAGGGGGCGGGGCGAAAGAGAAGCGTCGCCATCGACCTGGTCTGCCCTCGCAAACATGCAAACCCAAAGACTGTCAACTCTTCCGCACAGGTTGTGTTCATCGTGAGCGAGGGGGGTAATCACCAACGTCAGACATCACAACTCATAAATGTCCAATACCACCATTGTTCGATGCATTCACGTGCGCTCCCTGCTGACACAAACTTCACCCTGGTACTGACCAGACACCAGCGACAGCATACACCTTGGTTAATCCGCGAAGATATCACAAACCGGCGGTGGAATGACGCGGGCGAGGCGACAGATCCGAAGCGAAACCACGTGATGAGGATGCCCACGATGTTGAATATCATGCAAAGACCAAATAGTGTCCTCCCTGCCAAGCTTACGACGCGATGACGTCGATACGGACGAAGCCCAAAGCCCGTCGTCGACACCGACGACAACGGTAAAGACAAGGACGATGATGTTCACAACACGTGAGGGCGGCCGGGACGCAACAAACAAAATGCGATGATTCATGGAATGATGCGATGATTTATGCAATGATGCTGGCGAGAGAAATGAGGATGACGTCGGACTGCAACTAGCAAATATACTTACTCTGCAAGCCGTACTGGGTAGCAAATGTCAAAACTCCACTTCAACGAGAAAACTTCTGGGTCTATGAATGGCGACAGGCACTCAAACCAAGATCCGTGCTAGTGAGCTGCGCTGCGGCGCTGCGAATCAAAGCACTGTGGGCGGAGGAGGAGGAGGAGGAGGAGGAGGAGGAGGAGGAGGAGGAGGAGGAGGAGGAGGAGGAGGGAGGAGGAGGGGAGGAGGAGGAGGAGGAGGAAGAGGAGGAGGAGGAGGAGGAGGGAGGAGAGGAGGAGGAGGAGGAGGAGGAGGAGAGAGGTGAGGAGGAGGAGGAGGAGGAGGAGGAGGAGGAGGACGGAGGGGGAGGAGGAGGGGAAGGGAGGAGGAGGAGGAGGAGGAGGAGGAGGAGGAGGAGGAGAAGGATGCTCCGGGGCCCTGGGGGCTGCCGCCCACAGACGGCTCGGGACGAGCAAGGCTGCTGCCGGGCAGAGGGGGCCCGAGGCATGGGGCCCCTTTCTCCCTCCGGAGGTTCCTTCATGGTAGGGATCTGCGGCGGGCGAGGGGGGGGAGTGAGAAGGAGACGGCCCTCTCGGAAGGCGGCGGGGCTTCTCAGAAGCCCTGGCGCCTTCTGGGCAGTTGCTGCTCTGTTCTCGGGGGAAGGCTCAGAACAACTGCTCGGAAGGCCGGGGGACTTCCGAAGCTTCTGAGAAGGCCTTCTCCTTCTGACTTCCTCCCCTCGCTCGCCGCCGATCATGGAGGAGCCAAAAACCAGGTGTGCACGTACGCCCTCCGCGGTCACGCGTGCACGGGAGGTCGTGTTCAAACGCAGGCGGGCGGAGACGGACTGCGTGCATAGGAGGCCTTTTAGATGGGGTCGGAGTAGATGGGGTCGGAGGGTCGCGAGCATCAACGATGCATCGGCGAGGCATCGGCGATGCATCGGCGAGGCATCGTCGACGTCGGCGACGTCGGCGATGCGGTGCGACCCTCCGACCACATCTGCTCTGACCCCACCCGGGAGGCCCAGCTACGTGCACATGGGCTGCTGCCCTCTGACACGAGGATACGCTGGCCTCGGGACCTGTTCGCTTCATGGCGGCCCTGCCCTCCCTGGAAGAACTCACCTCATGAGCTATGGTGCTCCCATGGTACCTAGGGACCACATCCAGAAAATAATCTCGAACACCCAGAAAATTAGCGCAACAATGTCGAACGAGTATCGCCTCCCGGGGCCCGACACGTGAAAACCCTCCCGTTTCGGTACTTTCCTGGTGCTCGAGATTCTGGCTGGTGATCAGAGCTAAAGTAGGCGGCTGGAACATCATAGCTCACGAGCGTCGAACCTTCGGAATCTCGCGCGGATGCCCCCCTCCCCGGCGCGCAAGAGCGCCGCCACGGGCCCAGGGATGCGCGCGGGCCTTCGAGAGATTGCACATGCTTGCGCCGTTTTCAATTTCGCCCCACTGGGCGAGCATCGGGCCGCGTCCGATCGCCTGGAAATAGAGGAGAAAGAACTATGCACATACACCGATTCTGGCCAGACCCATCCTGAGCCCAGGATCGGTGCATATGCCCTCTTACCTTGGCCAGGAAGGCATATGCACCGATCCTGGGTCAAAGGATGGACGTTGTCAGGATCGGTGCATGTGCATATTTCTCTTCGCCCGAGGAAAGCGAATCGAACTCGAATCGGATCGGGCCGGAGCGGAGCGCGCCGAGTCCGCCGGCCGGCGGGCGAGCGGTTCCCTCAGGAGCAGCGCGGGTGGGCCGGGGCCCGTGCCTCGCGTGCGGTGGAGGAGGGCGTGATCCCAACCGTCCCGTACTGATCGCAGGCCTCGTCCACAAACCAATGCTTGGAGGCTCCCCCGGCGGTGTGTTGTCGTATAGAATGTGGTATGTGGCCGCACCAACGACTGGGTTGTCCACCAAGTGTGCGCCGTGCTGGTCGGCACACGGTCGGACCGGGACGGGCCCTCCTTTCCCCCCCCACCCCAGAAGGGCGCGCGCACGGGCGCGCCTGAGGCCCTTCACGGCCTCGGCGACCTGCTTCCGGGTCCAATGCGTCCAGTCGCGCTCCGCCAGAGCCGCGAGCCCCCACTGGGGGCCGCCGCAACGCGAGCGATCGGGGAGCTGAATTTTTATTTTTTCGCGGCGGTAACGGGCGTAACGGGCGTGATGGGAGGGGAGGGGGCATAACGTAACGCCCCCGCCCCCATCGTGACAGACTGTGGTACCAGATGCACTGCGGCGGTGCCGGGGAAGCACTGGGGGGGGGGAGCGCTGCGCTATGGGGGGGAGGTGTGGGGGGGGGGCCGCAGGGGATGTGTCGACCCCTACTCCAGGCTTCGTGGTGTTCTCGAGCGGACCAGAAATCTGGGGCAGAACCGAACTCGGTGATGTTGGACGGGCGGGCGCCCATCCTCGATAGGAGTGCGTCCGATCACCCCCCCGGAAGTGTATCCCCGAGTTTCCCTCCCGTCCTGATTTGTCGTTGAAACGTCGAAGGTTGGGGGCGAGAATTCGCCTGCGACGAGGGGGGGGGGGGGGATAACGGGATAACGCGCGTTATGGTCCAGGGTGTAAAAAACACTCTTGAGGTCGGTTGGGAGGCAACTACTGGGAGGCTTTCGTCGGAAGGATTTACGAGGATTAAGCCCCATTGGGGGGCTGTTACGCCGGAGTGTGCCTCGGATCAAGCGGGATTAAGCGGGATCAAGCGGGATTAAGCGGGATTAAGACAGAGTAAGCAGGATTAAGCGGGATTAGGCCGGATTTCGGACCAGGGCAAAATCAGAATCTGACCTCCCAGGAGTTGCATGCGAAGGTAGGGTACAGTCAGCACGTATAATAACAAGATGCACTGTGGGTATGCAAGGGTCTTGGAAGGCCACGTCGAGACTTCTTGAGCGGGGCGCGGGCCAAGAACGGGCCGACAGGAAATGATGCAAACGTAACCTTGAAAGTCGCTCATCCTTAGTATCCGCGTTGACTGTAAGGTAGGGCTCCACTGAGACCAAAGGTCAGAGGACCTGCAGGGCAGCTTTTAATACATAGGATGATTAAAGACATAGGACTTTTAATACATGGTTAATGTATGAATAAATGCATGCATGGACTCATCGTCGTTTTGAATACTACATCCCTGCATTTCTAATACATGATCCGCACGCGGAGCATGTATTAAAAACGGCACTGTATCCGTGTTGGCTGTGAGGTAGGGCTCAACTGAGACCAAAGGTCAGAGGACTCGAGGAGAGGCGCTTTGGGGGTACCCACCCACAGCAACACCTCGGCACTCCACGACTGGGGGGGGAGCCAACGACGGGACCTTTCGGCGGCCGTCGGCACACGTCCGATCGCTTACGCGGGGCACGGGGAGGGGGACGAGGCGGCGGCGAGCATCAAGTGGTCAGGGCGTCAAAGTGGAGCTAATCAGCGGCGACCGATGGGCGGCGTGAGAGCGCTGTCCCCGCCGATGTCAAACGAGCAACCATCCCTCGAGCACCCATTGCTCACGAGGCCCTGGCACCGGCAGGCCCTCTGCAAGACAGATGGCTGGAGCAGACGGATGCGGGGCAACGACAGTAGGCACAAGAAAGCATCAGAGTTCGGTCGGGCATGTCCTCCTACAGGCGGATTTTGGAGGAACCAGAAAAACAAATGATATATATATCATATATATAATATTAATTTAATATATAATATATATATATATATTATATAATATATATAAAACAAACGAAAACAAAACAAAACAAAAAAAAAAAAAAAACACGCCCCCTGACTATCTGTTCGCCTATTCTTGAGAATTCCTCCTGTACAGGGACATGCCCGACCGAACATCAGAGATGGGGACAGCTGCAGAAGCGCAAGATATGTCGGAGGTCTGGGCGGCCTTCGTGGATCGGCGCCGGCTCCCCGCGAAGCGTGCCGCGGGGGGGGGGGCCGCCAGGGGCGCCGCCAGAGAAGTTTTCTGCGATCCGAAAATCCGCCTGGGCCGGGGTGCAGGCGGGGGGGCTCGGCACTCTGGACTTGAAAGGGAGGAGGGCGGGGGGAGGGAAAGACGATGGGGCACGGTCGGGCGGCGAGGGGGGGGCACGGTCCGTCGGAGTAAGGGGAGGGGGCGACGGGGAAAGAGGCGGGTACGGTCGGTCGGAATGAAGGGGGAGGGGGGCGGAAGGGGGAGCGGGCACACCCAGCGCACAGTCCAGCACACCACTCCCAGCACAAATCCCATTAGACCCACACATCACAGCATACCACACCCAGCACACATCCCAGTACACCCACACATCCCAGCACACCCAGCATACATCCCAGCACACCCAGGGGGGGCACAGTACACCCACACATCCCAGCACACTCAGTACACTCCCCAGCGCATATCACAGAACATCGCAACACACCCATACATCCCAGCACCCCCAGCATACAGCCGAGTACGTCTGCACATCTCTGCACACCGACCACACGAGCCAGCACCCCCAGGGGGGCGCCACGGCCAGCACACATCCCAGCACACCCAGGGGGGCCACAACACACCCACACATCCCGGCGCACCCAGCACACGTCCCAGCACATGTCCCAGCACATGTCCCAGCACAGCCACACATCCTAGCACCCCCTGCGCACAGCCGAGTACGCCCACACATCTCAGCAATCCGAACACACACCCGAGCACTCCCAGGGGGGCGCCACGGCCACGGCCCAGCACACCACACCCAGCACACATCCCAGCACACTGGGGACGTCCACACATCTCAGCACACCGAGCCCAGCACACCGAGTCAGTACACCGACACATCCCAGCACCGAGCACACCGAGCCGGTACACCGACACATCCCAGCACACATCCCAGCACACCCAGGGGGGCCACGGCCAGCACATATCGCAGCACTTCACACCGCACCCATACATCACAGCACACCTCCCAGCACGTTTTCCAACACATCACAGCACGCCCGCACATCTACCCCCAGCGCACACCGACACATGCCAGCACACATGGCAGCACACCCAGGGGGACCACGGCCAGCACGTATTCCAGCAAAACACAGCACGCATCCCAACCCCCAGCGCACATCCCAGTACGTCCGACACATCCCAGCACACGGATCCCAGCACACCGAGGCATTACACCGATACATCCCAGCTCCCCCAAGCACAGTCGGCAGGTCGAAGTATGCAGTGCGAGATCACACCGGTAGGTATGGTAATAATTGATGTTACGAGCCAACCCAGGAGCAGCAATCATTAGCTCCAATGTGTCAGCAGACCCTTTGGACAACGACCAAGCCGGGACCTGGGTGGGCGTCCTCCTTCATCCTCCTCATCCGCCTCAGCGTCAACCTTCTCTTCCTTGGAATGCTGATCATACTCCGTGTGGGGAATGCGTATTCCTGAAAAAGGGAAGAGATTGAAAACCGCCTCAAAAATATGCGTCATGATCCTTGGTTGGCATCCCAAGTGGAACTGAAAAAATTGATTTGACAAGCCAGCGCCTGTGCAGCAGTGACCCCGCAGATTGGCTCACGCGTGCCAACTGCGCTGTCCGAGATGCCTCTCGGGGGCATCTTGGAAGAGGTTGTCGGTCGGGCTCCCCTGCACTGTTTTGTTTGATTATTACTGGATATTCCTCCTCTGGGGGGACATGCCCGACTGAAAAGAAGTTTTGAAAACTCTCTTGGGGTCTCTTGGGGGCCTCTTTGAGGGCCAGTGCGGGCCTCCTTGGGGGCCTCTTTGGGGTCTCGTGGAGCTTCTCGGATGCCCTTTTGGGCCCTGCTGGCGGTCTCGGGGGGGCATCCCGGGGCGGAGAACTTAAGGTCAGCCCATGCTTCCCCTCTTGGGGCTATCTTGGGGCCTTGGGGCCTGGCTGGACCGTTGTAGTAGCTTCTTGGGCCATCGTGGGACCCTCTTGGGCCAGCCTGGACCCCCTTGGGGGCATCTTGGGCTGTCCTGGGGGCCCGTGTGGTCGTCGCTGACGGAGCGAAGACACACACACACACACACACACACACACACAAACACACACACACACACAATGATCGCCTTCGCCCAGAAAGGAAGGGGACGGTGTTTGCCTCCTGGGCCCTCTTGACGGCCCTCTTGAGCAATCCTGGGGGCCTCCTGGGCCGTTTGACACGCTTCGTGGGCTGTCTGGGACCCTTCCAGGCCATCTTGAACCGGGCTGGCGGGCGTCTGATCGCCCTCGGGGACGACCTTGGGCCCTCCACGCAAGGGCCCAGCCCCTTTTGACCCCGCTCAGCGCCCCTCACACGGGGACTCCACTAACGGGTACTTTGGCCAGTGACCCAGCGAACCCAACCCTTACCGATGTGGGCAACGCTGCAATGCCAGAAAAAGGCCCTGAAGTGGCAACTTTCGGCAACATTTCAAAGTGCCCGTTAGTAAGTACCCGTTACGGTGCCGTTGACCCGCTGGGCTAGATTCGGTAACGGGGAACTGTGTTCCCCCAAGCCCACGGGCCCAGAAGCCCGTCATATTCTAGAAGGCCGCCCCGAGTCAGCAGCGTGCCCGCCATACACTGCACACCGACCCTGGCAGTGCCCACCCTGCGCCCAGCATCGGAGCGCATGCCCGTGCAGGGCGCAAGAGCTCATGCACCGATCCTGGACCGAGGATGCGAGGCGGGGGTGTGTCCACATCCACCGCCTGAGCGTGAATCCTGAATCCTTATTCAGGAGTCTTGAGTCAGAAATCGGCCATAAGGAACCTTAGAAAAGAGCCTGTGCTAAGGTGCCGTTACTGAAGGATCCTTAGTAAGGTATCTGAAGTAAGGCAGGCTTAATAAGGTATGCTCAGAAAGGAATGTCTGCCGAGAGATCCTGAAGAAGGAATCCTGAGCCACGAACCCTGGCGAAGCACATCCTTACGAACGATTCCTTAACAGCGCCTCCTTAGAGAGAATTTCTCAGTAGGGAGTCATCAGACGTCGTGGAACCTCCGCAGGCAGTGCATGTGGACATCATTGGGCTCCGCGGGGGCCCGAGCAGATCCGCAGCCACCGCCCGCGGAGGTCTCCGCAGAGAGACCCTCCGAGCGGCGGTTGTGT